ATTTCAGAGTTTTTACAATCAAAACTTGAATGGCAATATTATGTACACCAACAAAAGTCAAAAAAAGAATATAACGTCAAAAAAAAATATAAAATCATACATTACGTTTTTGTATTATCGAAAAAATAACAATATAAAATTAAATGGGGAAAAAGGTAATATACTTTATATATAATAATCATTGTAACCCTTTTAGGGTTTGCAAATTATTATCTCTTCAAGCCACCCTTTTCAAACATATGTATACATCATAAAATTTTAGCGGGTTAAAAAAAGGAGAAAACTGGTAGGCCCACATGTGAGAGAATGGTTGTGTGGTCAATGTGCCCATAAAAAAATCCCCGCGCCGCAGTGCATAATGAGGGGAAAAAAAAACGAGTTTTTTTTTTTAAAATGTGACTTTGTGGGGCTATTTTCGTATAGTATTTTGGTTGTATTTTTGTTTCTTGGTCTCTTTGATTGAAGGAAATATAATATAGAAATAGAGGTGATTTTGATTGGTTTTACTATGAAAAGAACCTTGAAATGGAGCTCAAAGTAGGGGAAATATTTGATTTTTGTCGATGTTCAAAAGTAAACAAATGATGTCATTTTCCAATAAATGTCCAACTAGCCATTCTAATATGCAGTCATGAATGGGTTGACATTATTTATACAATTATTACAATATTGCAGAAGTCTGCATAACAGTAAATCTTCTATTTTTGTTTGAATAAAAATTCAAAATAGAAAGCAAAAGTAATATCAGAGGGGCCTGGAGATGTGACTGATAAACAAAGGAAATGTTATTTTAGAGTCAGGAATGTCTGCATTGTTCATTCTGGACCCTATTTTGAAATTGTCATATTTTTTTAATTTTTGTGAAATTGGCCAAATTGCAAATTTCTCACCACATTATTGAGTATTTGAAATTGGTAAATGGGCAGTTTCTTGTACTCAATCGATAGAAAAAATGGAGTTCTAAAGAAATGGCTATGAGTTTGGTCGACTGGAACAATGGAATTAGCCGAAAGTGGGCAAAATCTCCGATTCATAAATAACGCCGTGGTCGCTAACTTTGTGAGAGGGTAATTCCGTCAGTTTTCCATCAAATTTCGTTCTTTTGGTGTCATAACAATCAGGAAAAGATTCTCTATCATTTCATAAGAATTTTTTTTTTTTTTTTTTGAAATTTTGCGACACCAGGAGACACCTCAGGATTTGGGGTTGCAACAGTCAAAGGGTTAATAACTAAACGTAGACTATTATATCAGATTTTTTGTGCAACCCCAAATCCGAGGTGCCCCGGGTGTCGCAAAATATTTGAAAAAAAAAATTTTTATAAAAGGGGATCTTTTCTCGAGGGTAAAAACCCAAAATTAAAAATTTGATGGAAAACATACAAAATTTTACGCTTTTGCGAAGTTAGCAACCTCAGCGAATTTACGAATTGAAAATTTTTTGCCCATTTAAAAAGCACTTTTTTCAGCTAATTACATTGTTCCGTTGGCCAAACCACAGCTATTTTCGTTAAACCCCATTTGTTCTATCAATTGAGTTTCAAGAAACTATCCATTTACCAATTTAACTTCCAATAAAGTGGGCAGAAATTGGGAAATTTTGGCCAAATTTACGAAAAATTAAAAATATCCAGTTTCAAAAAAGGGGGCCAGAATGAACAATGCAGACATTCCTGCCATAAAAAAAACAAATTTTCTTTGTTCATCATCATGTCTCCAGGCCCCTCTGATATTACTCATGCTTTCTATTTTGAATTTTTATTCAAACAAAAAAATAGGATATTTGCTGTTATGCAGACTACTGAAATATTGTAATAATTGTATAAATAATGTCAACCCATTCATGACTGCATATTAGAATGGCTAGTTGGACATTTATTGGACAATGACATCATTTGTTTTCTCTTGAACATCGGTAAAAATCAAACATTTCCCCTACTTTGAGCTCCATTTCAAGGCCCTTTTATTTATTTATTTATTTATTTTATGTCTTTGCAAACAGTACATGGGGATTTTGTATTTACAATAGTGGGTTGCAATGCAAGGAGAGGCTCTTATTATGCCTAGGCATTATGGGCCAACTTAACATTATTGTCTTACAGACTACTTAACACTAAGGATTATATCATAGTTGCACAGTAGGATAGTAGAACAGTTGATTATTAATTATAAGTGAATCAAAATTTGTATAAGACAAAAGATATTTTCATCTATTCAAAAATGCTTTTTGTGAAATCAATGATTCAATTATATTCCTGTCAACAATGGATAGAAGGTTCAAAGTGATTGTTGAAGTTATGATGTGGGAGAACATAAGTGAGTATGTGTGTACTAGGGTGTATGTGTAGTCTAGGGTGATTAAGTGGCTTTTGAGAAGAGTCCTAAATTGATTTTCAGACCGGATTACTTTAATATCTTCTGGTAAAACCAATTAAAATCACCTCTATTTCTTTAATATGTTTTCCATTCTATCAAAGCTGGTAAGCCCACATGTGGGCTTACTAGCTTTCTCCTGCTTGATTTGAAGCCACTAGAATTTTTGAATATATGTACCTCAAACAGTCAAAGGGTTAATTACATTCATAGGTACAATAAGAAAGGTAGCTAATGACAGATGGTTAATTACAAAATAATTACATACTGTTTAAACTGGTTCAATGATCTTCAGTTCTGTGGAGTGATTGAATGAAGATGGTGAAGATTCAGCACATTACTTATACAGCCTCTCCTCACTTTACGACGGACTCTGGGGCCTAAGGCGGCGGCGGTAAACGAATTCGTCGCTAATAAAGGAATTACCCCTTACTGACGCTTCAAAAGTGTCCCCACCCAAAATTAAAACATTCAATTTTATGTTTGCTGGGAAATTCCTTTAAAGCACTCCAGAGCGATTATTATTATTATTATTATTATTAGTATTATTAGTATTATAATTATAACCATCGACATACATGGTTCACAAATTTTAATAATTTCTTAAGCTGTCACGATACACTGAGAATGTAAACACACACATGAACACACTAGCTAACTCCTTTACTGTGAACTTCTTTTGTACCTTTTCCATTTTCCTCTTGTTTTTCCTCTTCCAAGAGGAAAAACAACAGGAAACTTGTACAAATATGTAGTCTTGGAGACTGTGAAAGCTAGTGTACTGAGTGGCTGTAAGGAGATTAACCCTTTCAGGGTCCAGAGGCCAAATTTCAAAGTGCGCACCAGTGTCCAAGAATTTTCAAAAAATAATTTTGTTATTTTTTCTTATGAAATGGTAAAGAATCTTTTTCTGAAGGTAATAAAACAAAAGTATGAAATTCGATGGAAAATTGACGAAATTATGCTCTCGCGAATTTTGATGTGTTAGCGATATTTACGCATCGGCGATTTTGCCGATTTTGACTCCCATTTTAGGCCAATTACCTTTTTCCAGTTGACCAAATTCTTAGCTATTTCACTAGTATTACTTTTATTCTATCGATTGAGCACAAGAAATCGCCAACTCAACTGTTTCAACTACAAAATAGTGATTGGAAATTGGTAATTTGGCCAATTTAGGGCAAAGTTCAAAATATTCCAATTTCAAAATAGGGTCCAGAATAAACAATGCAGGCATTCTTGGCACTAAACTAACATTTCCTTTGTTCATTAGTTATGTTTTCAGGCTTAACAAATGAATTCCATTTTGATTTTTAATTTGCATAATGAATTTTTATTCAAACTAAAAAATAGAAGATTTACTATCATGCAGTATTGTATTAATTGTATAAATAATATCACCACATTTGTGAACTTATGTTAGACACACCAGCTGGCGTGTATTAGACATGTGAGGTCATTTGTTTCTTCTTGAACATCGGCAAAAATTTAACATTTCTGCTACTTTGAGCTTAGTTTCAAGCCATTTTCAGTACTAAAACCAATCAAAAATCATCTCTATTTCTGTAATATATCTTCCATTCTATCAAATAAGACTAAGAAATCGCAAATACAACTATACAAAAAAAATACGAAAAAACACCGCAAAGTCGCTGTTTTAATAAAAAATTACGGTCTCAGTTTTTTTTTATCTCATTATGCACTGTGTGCTGCAGGATTTGTTTCATGTGGTGCACACATACCACCTAGATGTATTCTCTCATATCTAGGCCCAAATTTACCGCTCACAGTTTATCAGAGTGAGCTGAGCTTATGGCGTAGAACTACAGCTTGGACCCTGTCTTCAAAGCTGTAGAACTATGGGATGGACACTCAAAAGGTTAAAAGTGAACACTGTGAGCAGTAATAATTTTCAGGGTCTAGACAGTGAAAGGGCTGAAGTCACATGTGAGACCTTACCATGTTAACATTTGTATATTATTTTGGATTTGTGTAGTATTAGCATTTCTGCATTAAACATGTCTCGTTTTAACAATTCTTGATATTAATATCTAGTATTAATGTTACTTGTGTAGTATTAACAATTTTACATTACTGTACACCTGTGTTGTATTAATTTTTGTACATTATATACTTCACTGTACACCTGTGCAGTATTAACATTGCCACATTACTGTACTGCACACACTGGTAGGGATGGGATTAAACCAAAATATTTGCTGCTACCGATGCTCAATTTTACACTGAATTTCATTCCATCAAAATTAGTTGATATTCAATGATACTGATCCTACTACCTTTCAAAATCAATCAGAACTGATACTAATACCATTACTTTGACACATTCCTATGCATTTTAGTATTAACATTTGTACAATGGTGTGCACCTGTCTAGTATTAATATTTATACATAACTGTACTCTGAATGTGAATACTGTACTTTTATATACCTGTTTCAACTCTGATGGCTGGCCTTGGCTTTAGCTCCACAAGAGAGGGGATGGTGAAGCAAATATGTAAATATAATGTATAAATTACCCTGAAGTGGCTGAACTATATTGTGTTCATTTTTTCTTGAAATTGACATGCCATTGCTCCTATCACCTTCATATGTGTATGTCTTCACAGGTATCGTCAGCGAGAAAACAGTTTACTTGTGTACAACAAGCCTGTGGGGATCATCATGGGACCAAATGACACTCTTAGTGATCTCATCGAGCAGTCATCTGGCTCAGGTTCCGGCCTCCCTCTCCTGGTGAGCGTCTTTGTTTCTTTGTGCAGAGGACAGGGGTACTGAGTATGAACATTTGTGTATGGGGAGGAGGGTACTGAGTATGAACATTTGTGTATGGGGAGGAGGGTACTGAGTATGAACATTTGTGTATGGGGAGGGGGGTACTGAGTATGAACATTTGTATGTGTGGGGGATAGGGGAGCTGAGTATGAATATTTGTGTATGGGAGAGTATATATCAGGTTTCGGTGTTATTTATATTGTTTGTTATGTCATATTAGATGAACTTTGGTAGATAAATAAGTCGTATAGATGATATTAGCGAAATTATTCAAGAAGTATTTTGTCCCGTCTCCAGACAAACTGTCGTCCACCGCCGACACCGCCCATACCACTACATGAATTACATACTTTATTCATTTTAGAGTATATATCAGGTTAAGGTAGTAGGTTGGTAGACAGCAACCACCCAGGGAAGTACTACCGTCCTGCCAGATGACTGTGAAACAGAAACCTGTAACTGTTTTGCATGATGGTAGGATTGCTGGTTTCTTTTTCTGTCTCATAAACACGCTAGATAACAGGGATATCTTGCTACTCCTACTTACACTTTGGTCACACTTCACAGACACGCACATGCATATATATATACATACATCTAGGTTTTTCCCCTTTATCTAAATAGCTCTTGTTCTTCTTTATTTCTTCTATTGTCCATGGGGAAGTGGAAAAGAATCTTTCCTCCGTAAGCCATGCGTGTCGTATGAGGCGACTAAAATGCCGGGATCAATGGGCTAGTAACCCCTTCTCCTGTAGACACTTACTAAAAAAGAGAAGAAGAAAAACTTTATAAAACTGGGATGCTTAAATGTGCGTGGATGTAGTGCGGATGACAAGAAACAAATGATTGCTGATGTTATGAATGAAAAGAAGTTGGATGTCCTGGCCCTAAGCAAAACAAAGCTGAAGGGGGTAGGAGAGTTTCAGTGGGGGGAAATAAATGGGATTAAATCTGGAGTATCTGAGAGAGTTAGAGCAAAGGAAGGGGTAGCAGTAATGTTCAATGATCAGTTATGGAAGGAGAAAAGAGAATATGAATGTGTAAATTCAAGAATTATGTGGATTAAAGTAAAGGTTGGATGCGAGAAGTGGGTCATAATAAGCGTGTATGCACCTGGAGAAGAGAGGAATGCAGAGGAGAGAGAGAGATTTTGGGAGATGTTAAGTGAATGTATAGGAGCCTTTGAACCAAGTGAGAGAGTAATTGTGGTAGGGGACCTGAATGCTAAAGTAGGAGAAACTTTTAGAGAGGGTGTGGTAGGTAAGTTTGGGGTGCCAGGTGTAAATGATAATGGGAGCCCTTTGATTGAACTTTGTATAGAAAGGGGTTTAGTTATAGGTAATACATATTTTAAGAAAAAGAGGATAAATAAGTATACAAGATATGATGTAGGGCGAAATGACAGTAGTTTGTTGGATTATGTATTGGTAGATAAAAGACTGTTGAGTAGACTTCAGGATGTACATGTTTATAGAGGGGCCACAGATATATCAGATCACTTTCTAGTTGTAGCTACACTGAGAGTAAAAGGTAGATGGGATACAAGGAGAATAGAAGCATCAGGGAAGAGAGAGGTGAAGGTTTATAAACTAAAAGAGGAGGCAGTTAGGGTAAGATATAAACAGCTATTGGAGGATAGATGGGCTAATGAGAGTATAGGCAATGGGGTCGAAGAGGTATGGGGTAGGTTTAAAAATGTAGTGTTAGAGTGTTCAGCAGAAGTTTGTGGTTACAGGAAAGTGGGTGCGGGAGGGAAGAGGAGCGATTGGTGGAATGATGATGTAAAGAGAGTAGTAAGGGAGAAAAAGTTAGCATATGAGAAGTTTTTACAAAGTAGAAGTGATGCAAGGAGGGAAGAGTATATGGAGAAAAAGAGAGAGGTTAAGAGAGTGGTGAAGCAATGTAAAAAGAGAGCAAATGAGAGAGTGGGTGAGATGTTATCAACAAATTTTGTTGAAAATAAGAAAAAGTTTTGGAGTGAGATTAACAAGTTAAGAAAGCCTAGAGAACAAATGGATTTGTCAGTTAAAAATAGGAGAGGAGAGTTATTAAATGGAGAGGTTAGAGGTATTGGGAAGATGGAGGGAATATTTTGAGAAATTGTTAAATGTTGATGAAGATAGGGAAGCTGTGATTTCGTGTATAGGGCAAGGAGGAATAACATCTTGTAGGAGTGAGGAAGAGCCAGTTGTGAGTGTGGGGGAAGTTCGTGAGGCAGTAGGTAGAATGAAAGGGGGTAAGGCAGCCGGGATTGATGGGATAAAGATAGAAATGTTAAAAGCAGGTGGGGATAGTTTTGGAGTGGTTGGTGCAATTATTTAATAAATGTATGGAAGAGGGTAAGGTACCTAGGGATTGGCAGAGAGCATGCATAGTTCCTTTGTATAAAGGCAAAGGGGATAAAAGAGAGTGCAAAAATTATAGGGGGATAAGTCTGCTGAGTATACCTGGTAAAGTGTATGGTAGAGTTATTATTGAAAGAATTAAGAGTAAGACAGAGAATAGGATAGCAGATGAACAAGGAGGCTTTAGGAAAGGTAGGGGGTGTGTGGATCAGGTGTTTACAGTGAAACATAAGTGAACAGTATTTAGATAAGGCTAAAGAGGTCTTTGTGGCATTTATGGATTTGGAAAAGGCGTATGACAGGGTGGATAGGGGGGCAATGTGGCAGATGTTGCAAGTGTATGGTGTAGGAGGTAGGTTACTGAAAGCAGTGAAGAGTTTTTACGAGGATAGTGAGGCCCAAGTTAGAGTATGTAGGAAAGAGGGAAATTATTTCCCAGTAAAAGTAGGCCTTAGACAAGGATGTGTGATGTCACCGTGGTTGTTTAATATATTTATAGATGGGGTTGTAAGAGAAGTAAATGCGAGGGTCTTGACAAGAGGTGTGGAGTTAAAAGATAAAGAATCACACACAAAGTGGGAGTTGTCACAGCTGCTCTTTGCTGATGACACTGTGCTCTTGGGAGATTCTGAAGAGAAGTTGCAGAGATTGGTGGATGAATTTGGTAGGGTGTGCAAAAGAAGAAAATTAAAGGTGAATACAGGAAAGAGTAAGGTTATGAGGATAACAAAAAGATTAGGTGATGAAAGATTGAATATCAGATTGGAGGGGGAGAGTATGGAGGGGGTGAATGTATTCAGATATTTGGGAGTGGACGTGTCAGCGGATGGGTCTATGAAAGATGAGGTGAATCATAGAATTGATGAGGGAAAAAGAGTGAGTGGTGCACTTAGGAGTCTGTGGAGACAAAGAACTTTGTCCTTGGAGGCAAAGAAAGGGGGAAAGTATGAGAGTATAGTTTTACCAACGCTCTTTATATGGGTGTGAAGCATGGGTGATGAATGTTGCAGCGAGGAGAAGGCTGGAGGCAGTGGAGATGTCATGTCTGAGGGCAATGTGTTGTGTGAATATAATGCAGAGAATTCGTAGTTTGGAAGTTAGGAGGAGGTGCGGGATTACCAAAACTGTTGTCCAGAGGGCTGAGGAAGGGTTGTTGAGGTGGTTCGGACATGTAGAGAGAATGGAGCGAAACAGAATGACTTCAAGAGTGTATCAGTCTGTAATGGAAGGAAGGCGGGGTAGGGGTCGGCCTAGGAAAGGTTGGAGGGAGGGGGTAAAGGAGGTTTTGTGTGCGAGGGGCTTGGACTTCCAGCAGGCGTGCGTGAGCGTGTTTGATAGGAGTGAATGGAGACAAATGTTTTTTAATACTTGACGTGCTGTTGGAGTGTGAGCAAAGTAACATTTATGAAGGGGTTCAGGGAAACTGGCAGGCCGGACTTGAGTCCTGGAGATGGGAAGTACAGTGCATGCACTCTGAAGGAGGGGTGTTAATGTTGCAGTTTAAAAACTGTAGTGTAAAGCACCCTTCTGGCAAGACAGTGATGGAGTGAATGATGGTGAAAGTTTTTCTTTTTCGGGCCACCCTGCCTTGGTGGGAATCGGCCAGTGTGATAATAATAAAAAAAAAAATCAGGTTTCTTTGTTATTTATATCGTTTATTATGTCATATTAGATAAGTGAGATAGATAATGCTTCACATCCATATAAGAGCGTTGGTAAAACTATACTCTCATACATTCCCCTCTTTGCCTCCAAGGACAAAGTTCTTTGTCTCCACAGACTCCTAAGTGCACCGCTCACCCCCTTCCCCTCATCAATTCTATTATTCACCTCATCTTTCATAGACCCATCCGCTGACACGTCCACTCCCAAATATCTGAATACATTCACCTCCTCCATACTCTCTCCCTCCAATCTGATATCCAATCTTTCATCACCTAATCTTTTTGTTATCCTCATAACCTTACTCTTTCCTGTATTCACTTTTAATTTTCTTCTTTTGCATACCCTACCAAATTCATCCACCAACCTCTGCAACTTCTCTTCAGAATCTCCCAAGAGCACAGTGTCATCAGCAAAGAGCAACTGTGACAACTCCCACTTTGTGTGATTCTTTATCTTTTAACTCCACGCCTCTTGCCAAGACCCTCGCATTTACTGCTCTTACAACCCTATCTATAAATATATTAAACAACCATGGTGACATCACACATCCTGGGAAATAATCTCCCTCTTTCCTTCATACTCTAACTTGAGCCTCACTATCCTCGTAAAAACTCTTCACTGTTTTCAGTAACCTACCTCCTACACCATACACCTGCAACATCTGCCACATTGCCCCCCTATCCACCCTGTCATATGCCTTTTCCAAATCCATAAATGCCACAGAAACCTCTTTAGCCTTATCTAAATACTGTTCACTTAAATGTTTCACTGTAAACACCTGGTCCACACACCCCCTACCTTTCCTAAAGCCTCCTTGTTCATCTGCTATCCTATTCTCCATCTTACTCTTAATTCTTTCAATAATAACTCTACCATACACTTTACCAGGTATACTCAACAGACTTTTTTTTTTTTTTTTTTTTTTTTCAACAAGTCGGCCGTCTCCCACCG